CAATGGATCCTCTGAAGCGAATGGGTGCCGTCAGAACATCACAGTAACCCACAGCACTCCAGTCCATCATTTAATGTCTTGAGAAGTGAAAAGGTTGTGGATTATTGTGATGTTTTTATCAGCTGTTTGGACTCTCGTTCTGACGGCACCCATTCACTGCAGAGCATCCATTGCTGAGACACTGATGCAGTGCTACATTTCTCCAAACCTGATGAAGAAACAAACTTGGATGATCTGTGGGTGAGTAAATGTTCAGCAAATGTTCATTTTTGGGTGAACTATTCCTTTAAATATACACATGTGATAACTCAAATCATTCTGGTTGTTGAGAAAATTACGTTTCTAACTAATCAAACTTAGAATTTTCCCCTGGAAAATGATATAAATCCTCCAGCCATATCTATGGACTTGGACCTTTTTTGATTTGTGGTGGTTAGCAACCGCTTTAGACACCTTAGGATCATAATTGGCAAATACTGGAAAATTAACACATTTGTGGTGTTCACAGAAAATGTAAAAATATAGTTTTTCCCCACTTCGCTAAGACAGAATATAGATTTTTGCTTATAAGCAAGTTTATTACAAGCATATATACACTGCTGTTCAAAAGTTTGGGATCAGTAAGACATCTGCTCATCAAGGCTGCATTTATTTGATCAAAAATACAGAAAAAAACATTAATCTTGCAAAATGTTATTACAATATAAAATAATGGTTTCTATTTTAATATCCTTTAAAATATAATTTATTTCTGTAATGCGCAGCTGAATTTCCATCAGCATTACTCCAGTATAAAGCGTCACATGATCTTCAGAAATCATTCTAATATGCTGACATATTACAGTTGTGCTGACAGATATTTTATTTTGGAAACTGCGATACTTTTTTAGGATTCTTTGATGAATAGAAAGATCCAAAGATCAGCATTTATCTGAAATAAAAAGCTTTTGGAACATTATATACTCTACCATTCAAAAGCTTGGAGTCAGTGTGTATATATATATATATATATATCACTAAAACTATATTCACTAAAACACATATTGCAAATAACAACCCTTGAATGTAATCGTGATATTTCATTATATTTGAGACCCTATGTGACGAGAGGGGCGGGGCCGAGAGCCGTGGGAACGCCCTATACTACATATCTTTGCACATGTACTAGATACATATTACGACTGCACACCCTAAAAAATTTTTAAAAACATGTAACCCATCCGCTGGGTTTGTCCCTATTTTACCCAGCACTGGGTTGTATTTAACCCAGCATTTTTTAGAGTGAGTGTACTGTGTTTATTTATTTATTTGAAAATAGATAAACATTTATATAGAATCATGCGATTTAGAATCAATATTTGATATTTTACTTTCCAAAGTATCCAAACTTTTCTGAAAAACGAAATTACTTTTAATTGAATTAATCTCTTCCATTATTTTTGAATAAGTACATTTTAATTACTTAATGAATAAATAACTGAAATATTATTATCCCTTTTAATCGTGAAAATTCAAAATAAGAAACTTATGAAAACGATTTTTAAAAACATCTAAAAGCTTTTCAAACTGATGTAACTGGCCAAATATTAACTTTTTGTTGTTGTTGTTGTTTTGTTATATAGGTCTATATGTTTATTCTGTATTTATACTGTTTAATATATTACATTAATTATATATTATTAGTATGCTGTTGATCTGTTTTGTTATTTATCTCACATTCTTCTCAGTCTGACGGCGAGCGCTTTTCCTGTCAGCTGACGTGCGTCTGCGTCTGCGTCTGCGTCGCGTCACGTGCGTCTGCGTCGCGTCACGTGCGTCTACGTAAAGCTGGCGCTCCGGTTTCCCTGGCGGAGAAGATGGCGGCTCCGGGACCGGGGGAGTACTTCAGCGTCGGGAGCCACGTCTCGTGCCTCACCTGCTTAGGCCAGCGTTTGCAGGGAGAGGTGGTGGCTTTCGATTATCCGTCCAAGATGTTGACTTTGAGTATCCTTTCTTCCTCGGACACGTGCGTCTACACTGCAGCTCCGCGAGCGTGTTTGCGCGCTAGCGGCCTGTTCTCGCTTCGTTTACTCCGTGTGCTGTGTTTGGACACGACCCGCTGTGTGTGTCGCGTGGGGGTCTGGGCTGGGCTGGGCTGGGCTGGGCTGGTCGTTGAAAGCGAGTCGGAGAAGTGTTGTTTGTGGTTAGCGTGTCCTCGAGCGACAGCATTAGCCTGCATGAGCTAATGTCTTTAGCGCGCTAAGCTAATGTGCTTCCAGTGCGGTAACGCAGCGCTCACAGAGTATAAAGCACTCTGGGTGTATTTCCTCAAGTGTTGCTTTGTAGGAAAGCTACGGCAGGCTGAGAGTAGCAGCCGCTTGCTTTGCTCCTGATACACGAGCTCTCTGCTGTCCTCAGATCAGTAACAGCAGGCGGACTCATACTCACGATCCGGTGCGCTTATTGCGCTTTATAATAAATCTTTGTAAAGAAAACGCATTTTTACTCAAATTAATCGAAATTGATTTATGGCGTTTTGAAGCAAAACTCTTCTCGTGTGTGTGTGTGTGTGTGTGTATGTATGTGTGTGTGTGTGTGTGTGTATGTATATGTGTGTGTGTGTGTGTGTGTGTGTGTATGTATATGTGTGTGTGTGTGTGTGTGTGTGT